TGTATGGATGATGATAATGCTACTGTTGAGTTTTATTTCTGTTGAATGGTTATTGCTGATCCCCCCTATCACCGGTTCCCATCGTGCTTTTCCAATTGAAGTGCTCTTCCGGGGCTCGCATCGCACCCGTTTTTTTTGGGTGGGGGTGGGGGGGGGGGTACTTGTTTTTTATACATATATAGATACATCTATGTATATACTACAAAAATCAGGGGCAGTCTTCTTGCTCAAACTGCTTTGCTGGCCCCCTCTCCACAGCAACACTGGCTCACCTCGGATTTCGAATGAATTGCAGGGATCCCGCTCCTCCTCCTCCTCCTCCTCCCTCCTCCTCCTCTCCCTCCTCCTCCTCTCCCTCCTCCTCCTCCTCCTCCTCCCCTCCTCCTCACTCCTCCTCTCCTCCTCTCCTCCTCCTCCTCCTCCTCCTCCTCCTCCTCCTCCTCCTCCTCCTCTCGCGCGGGGACCTCCTCACAACCTGCTCGAGAGTCGCCCCCTCGCTCACGACTTCCCTGCCGGCTGCTCAGGCGCCGCGCCCTCGGCGCCCAGGAGTCGACCGCCGTCGCGCGAGACCTCCGCACGTCACGAGCGAACACGCGAACACCCATACCCCTAGGTCCTCCACAACCCTCCTCCCTCCCTCCCTCCCTCCCTCTCCTTCCCTCCTCTCCCCTCCCTCTTCCCTCCCTCTCCCTCCCTCTCTCTCTTTCCCTCTTCCCTCCATGCCCCTGCCTCCCAACCGGTTCAGACCCCCGGCCGCCCGGGACGGAGGGGGCTATGGGTGCGTGTTGTCGGATGGGGGTCCCCGCTCGAATGGGAGCCTCCAACAGGGCCCAACAACCCGTACCCATACCCATAACCAGTCCTCTTCCCTTCGAACCACCTATGGGTATGTGTGTGTGTGTTGTTCGTTCGTCACACACACACCGTGTGCTCAGGACTCGCGCTCTCCTTGGGTCTTCTGTGCAGTCTGCAAAGCCCGCTTCGTCGCTCCGCCCGCCCAGCCCGCCCGTCAGGGCCCGCCCGCTCGTCCAGCCCGTTGGAGTTCCAGAGCCATCGCCCGCATGGCACCACTGCACCCGTTTCGCCTCTCACACGTTTCGTGGCCCCAAACAGTATTCCATAGAACGCGGTCGGTACCCACAATGCGGTACTCACAACTGCATATGGTTGTGTCTTTCGCCAGGATATGCATTTACCCTCTCTCTTTCTTTCGCACACTCCTCATTCGTATCGTTTTGTTTTCCCTCTCTCTCTCTCCCCCTCTCTTTCTCATTTGCGCATGTCAGGTCTGGCAGGCATGGGTGCATGCGTGTTGTTACGTATACGTGGGCCCTCGTGGTATCGGCCACGCGGCCGGGACGGGGCGAGGGGTAGTAACAAATCGTCTCCCCCCCTCCCCCTGGGTCGCCGGCGGAACTTCTGCGGAAGATGGCGGAGGTAATGGCCGTAGCGGGCCGGAGGGGGTGACGGGGGGACCTTTTGTGGGCAAACCTTGCCCCCCTTTGCGCAGCACCCTCCAGCCACCTAGCTGCGGCCACAGTTGGCCGCCGGGGGTGACAAGGGGGACCCCCTGCCCCGTTTATACGAATAACGGCAGAGAGGGGATGAGTAGAAAAGTAACGAATTCCCCCCCCCCCCCCCCCCCTGCGGGAGCTAACCTGCGCATGCTTGCAGAGCCAGTGGAACGCAACAGACAGCGCAGTCGCCCGGGCAATAATTGTCACTGGTGGGGCCCCGCGTGCCTGGGCAATGATTGTCACGAGTGGCTCTGCTTTGGGCTCTGAGGGCGGGGTGTCTGTCACCACCCACCAAACCACCCCAAGCCAACCCGAAAGCTTCCATTTGCCCTCCATTTCCAGAGGTGTGGGGGGGTCGGGGGACATTGAAAAACACATATGGAACCCGTACCTCGCCCCAAAACCCGAAATCCGGGCGAAAGTCGGGTCTTCGGGTCGAGTTAGGGGTGGTCTGGTAGGTGGTCACTGTCGGTCCACCCCCCAGGGGATCGTGTAGGCCATGTGGGGTCGAGGCGCGCGCCCTGCTCTCGACGCCCGCCCGGCCCGCCCAGCCGAAAGAGTAGCTGAGGGGGTGGTCACCTGGCCCTGGGCGTGGAGGGTTTCACCGAAGGGCTTGGGCGACCCGTCCTCCTCCTCCTCCTCCTCCTCCTCCTCCTCGATCTCCTCTTCCTACTCGATCTCCTCTTCCTCCTCGATCTCCTCGTCCTCCTCGATCTCCTCGTCCTCCTCGATCTCCTCGTCCTCCTCGATCTCCTCCTCCTCGTCTTCCTCCTCGGCTCGCCTACGGCCCTGGGGGAAGCCGTGCACCTTGGCGCTGCGCCAAAGCTGCCAGCAATCCGCTCGACGCGCCTGCCCAGAGCCACTTGCTCGGAGACGACGGCGCGGACAGATCCTTCCCCCGCTCCCCCTTCACCCCGCACAGTCGTTTACACAGGATAACGTCAGGCTTCCTGCCCTTCCGGGGATACGCAACGTGTGAGGGGCGCGCCGGGGGGGAACGCCCCCGGGGGGTCAAAGGATTCGGGGAGGCTTGCCCTCCGCAGGTGCGGCTTCTTGGGGGTGGCGGCCCACCCCGGACCCTGAGCGAACAAGGATACGCGGCTCGAGCGATGCGCTCGGGCTCCTGCCCAGAGATCTCCGAGCCTGGTCATCAGCCCACGGCTCTCCGTCCGAGGCCACTTCGGAGCCAGAAGCTCAGCATGCAAACCATCCTCTCGCAGCCGCTCCTTTGGGCCCCCCACCCGGGGCCATCAGCTCGGAGCTCCGTGCTCCCCTCCTCCCGACCACCAGGCCGCGCCAGCATTCCATGCGGTGCGGCATGGCTGGGCTGCTGGGTGGCCGGGGCGGAGTCACGCGTGTGCCGGCGGGTCCCGCGCCAAAAGGGGGGCATCGCTCGCAGCACAGCGCCGTCGAGGCGTGCCGCCCCCTCTACCTAAAGCGGGAGGGCAGCTGCCACTCTTTGCATGATTGTCAACACAAGGGATTCTACGATGGGCAACAACTGGTTTTGTCTCTATCTCTTTCTTTCCGTATTTCTCTGTCCCCCTCCCTCTCCCTTTCTCTCTCCTTCTCCCTCTCCCTTCTGTCTCCCTTCCCTTCTCCTCTTGCATCTTTTCCCAATACATGGTCCTACCCCCCTACCCCTCCGCTCATTCCCCCTCTCAAGAGCAAGGGTCCGAGGGAAGGTCATCGCACAGCTGACCGCCCACCCGCCCGCCAACGTGGCCATCGAAGACTCGCTTCGTCACCTGGAGTATCTCCAGGACTACAAGGAAGCCTTCGCCAGGAGCCCAGGGAACAGGGAGGATGAGGAGGATGAAGAGGAGAGTGAGGACGAGGACGTCGAGGGAGGACGGGGGAGGACGGAGAAGGACGTGGCAGATGAAGAAGTAGATATGTCTTTCGAGGTGTTCAAATGTAGATGTACATGTGTATGTAATGTATGCATGTGTCTATGTATATGCTTGCGTACATGTACACTTACATACAGACATATGTTTTTATGTACACATGCTTTATTTATTTCACGTGCGTATACATGTCTATACCTGTGTCTGCATGCATATGTGTATGTGTATGTATATGTACATTCGTATGCATTGTATATGAGCACGCATATCTACATACTTGTATATGCATACACACTAGTGTACATGCTTTTGCGCACTTCACAAATTTCTGGCCTCGGGAGGCCTCTAGGAGCGTTCAGGGACCACCAGAAACCTCCAGAGGAACCAGGGTGAGAAGGAGGAGGAGGAGGAGGAGAACCAGAGTGAATCACAGATGCATTAGTGATGCTGCAAGGTATCCCGTTCCAAGCCCCCTCCTCAGACGCCCCTACAAGATTTCCGTTTCACTGCAAGAAGCGCCCTCCTTTGAAAGACCAGCGCAGTTTGGCCAGCCACCGTGGCGAGGGCCATGCTTTGGAAAGGTCTTACCTCGCATGGTCTGGCGCGCAGATAGGGACGCGACAACCTACGGCCATACAGTTCAAGGAGGTGTCCAGCGAGATAGCTTTTTCGAAGAGGGACTGGTGTACGAGCTTACTCGTGTAGTCACAGATTTCGAGGAACTCGTCAGCGACAGCTCTGGATCCGCGCAGCGCTGTTTTCTTTGGAGTTCCAGGTTTCAGACTTAACAAGGTCTCACGCCCCCGTCCTGCTAAACGTCGCACTCCAAGAACGAATGCGCGCGGCGCCGAGGCGAGGACCTCATTTTTGAGCACGACTGGTGCTCAAGCTCTTGACACGAACGTGTGCGGCGCCAGGGCGAGCGCCCCTCTTCGAAGAGGAGCCGCCCTCCACCCGTGAAGCTGGTGCAGCATGCTGTTGGCACGATTCTGCGCGGCGCCGGGGTGGGAGCTCCATGAGCAGGGAGAACGACCCGCCCTACGTGCCCGTGTGCCGGCGCGGAGGTCGGGGGCGGCAAAGAGGGGGGTGATGACTAGGGGGGGAGGGATATCATGGCGGGGGGGTGTGGGAGCTCCATGAGGAAGGAACGGCCCGCCCTGCATGCCTGTGTTGGGGGAACAAAAGGTGTCATAAAACATAAAAAAACCGAGGTCCGCGCGGATTTCTCGGATCGGCGCTGGGGCCCCCCGGCGGCGCCCCCGGCGCCGCCCTTGGCGCGCTCAGCGCGAAGGCGAGGGCCGCACTGTGAACATTTTCTCCCCATTCATCCGTGAAGCTACTGCAGGCGCTTGGTGCGCATCTGTGCGGCGCGGAGGCTCGGCGGCGAGCCCAGGGGCGGGCCTTCTCGGCAGGCTCGGCAAGCCCCCTGGCCTTCCGAGAAGTTTGGTAAGCCTTCCCCGAAGGCACCGAAGTCTTCCCCGAAGGCTGGAGGGCTTCCGAGAAGCTCCGCCGCCTGCTGAGAAGGCCTTCTCCTTCCCACGTCCCCCCTCGCTCGCCGCCGAAAGGCGAGAGCCACATTTTCAGCACTGGCCACATCCGTCCGTGAAGCGGTTGTAAACTTTCGAGACGAATGTGTCTCGCGCTTCGGCGAGTGCCACATTTTCAAAACGAACCGCCCTCCATCCTTCAAGATTGCAATCTGTCAAGACGAGTGCACGCGGTGCTGAGGCGAGAGCCCCACTTAGAAAATGAACCGTCCTCCATCCGTAAAGCTGTTGTAGACTTTTAATCCGAGTGTGCGCAGCGCTAAGGCGAGAGCCACATTTAACAAATTGACTTCCATCTGTCCGTGACGCTTGCACAGACTGTTAAGACGAATGTGCTCGGCGCAAGGGTCAGAGTCACATTTTTGAAAATTGTCAACCCCTCGTCGTCAGTGAAACTGATTCAAGATTTAAAGACGAATGCACGCAGCCCTAAGGCGAGAGCCACGTTTTGAAAAGGACCCGCTGTCTATCTGGGAACATGTCGTACATTTGTCAGGAGGAACAGAAACACACAGACACAATTGATCCTCGATTCCCCAGAAAATATGGGAAAATATGGGAAGTTGTGGGGGAAGACAAAAACCGAGGAAATATGGGGAAATATTGGGGATCCTTTATTTGTGTGTATTTATTTGTGTGTCCCAGGGCCCCTTCAATTTGAAGCGTCAGGGTCATAAACAGGGAGTAAGTCTCAGGCGAAACGCCCGGCTCGCCCTGCCGACACGCTTGGGAGTGCGGCGTGGAGGAGTTATTTTCGTAAAGACGGGATGGAGTGAGAACACAGGTGAGGGGAGTAGGAGGAGGAGGGGGACGGAGGAAGAGGAGGAGAAGAATGATGAGGATGATATTGAGGATGAGGATGAGGAGGAGAAAGATGAGGAGGAGGATGAGGAGGAAGAGGAAGGGCTGGAGGACGAGGAGGAGAAGGAGGATGAGTAGACAGGGTGGAAAGGAGGAAGGTGAGGATGATTCTTCAGGCTTACGCCACATCCGCCGACCCTTTATGAAGAATCGCGCAGTGGTCTGGTCGCCTCTTTGGGTGGTCTGAGGCCCCTGGGCCATTCTTGGGGCATTCTTGGGTTGTCTTGGGGCCCCTTAGGCCGTCCTGTGGCAGTATTGGGCTGTCTTGGGGCTTTCTTGGGCTGTCATCGGCCTCTCTTGGGCTGTCATGGGGCGCTCTGGGCGTTCTTTTCGGCCGTCTTGGCCGTCGCCATCTGTTGCCGAGGACTGTGGTATGCCCTTGGTGACCTCAGAACTGCTTTGCGGTGTCTTTTGGAACCGTCAGGGGCGGCCGTGGGGTGACCTTCAATCGTTTCAGGCCATGGTCAGAGACCCGCCGAAACGCCCTGCGGAAGCAAGTGACGAGCACGGCGGGAAGCGACGCAAGTTGCGAGGAATCTGACCGCGAGTCGCGCGCGCTGTCTTCGGGGCTCTCTTGGGCCGTCCTCGGCCCCTCTTGACCCGTCTTGGCGCCCTCTTGGGCTGTCGCGGGGCCCTCGTGGAGGCTTCTTGGACCGTCTTGGTGCGGTCTTGGGGGGCTCTGGGGCCGCCCAGAAGCGGGGAACACCCCAAAAGGCGCACGTGCGAGAAAACATATACGTTTTACGAAGGGAACGGGCGTTTTTGTGCGTCTAGAGGCCCTCTTGTGGCGCATCGTGGATGCCTCTTGGGGCGTCTTGAGGGCCTCTGTAGCCGTCTGGAGGTCGTCGTCAGTGTTGTTGATCGCTCTTGGACCGTCGGGGACCATGTGGAGCTCTCTTCGAGGCCATTCGGGGCGCTCCTGGAGCGCTGTCGGGGCCGTTTTCGGAGCCCTTTTGGGCCGTCTTGGACGTCTGTTGGCCCGTCTTGGGGCCCTCTAGGGCTATATGGGGAACCCTCTTGGAGGCGTCTTGGGCCGTCTGGGAGCGGGTTTGGGGGGCTCTGGGACCGTCCAGGAGCGGGGGGCACCCCAAAAGGCGCACGTGTGAAAAAATACGTTTTACAAAGGGAACGGGCGATTTTTTGCGTCTAGAGGGCCTCTTGGGGCGAATCTTGGATGCCTCTTGGGCCGTCTTGGGGGCCTGTTGAGCCGTCGGGAGGCCGTCGTCGATGTTTGTGATCGCTCTTGGACCGTCTGGGACCGTGTGGAGCTTTGTGGAGGCCACTCGGAACGCTCCTGGGGCGCTCTTGGGGCCGTTTTCGGAGCCCTCTTGGGCCTGTTGGCCCGTCTTGGGGCCCTCTAGGGGTATGTGGGGCACCCTCTGCGAGGCTCCTGGGGCCGTCTGGGAGCGGGTTTGGGGGCCTCTTGGGCCGTCGGGGAGCATCGGAAAGGCCCAAAGCCGAATTTGTGAAAAACGTACGTCTCACGAAGGGAATGGGCCAATTTTTGCGTTTAGGGACCCTCGTGGAACGCATTTCGGAGGCCCTCGGGGGGGCATGTGGGGGCCTCTTCTGCCGTCGAGGACGCCTCGTGGCCCGTCTTTGGGCCACCTTGGGCGGCTTGGAGCGCTCGTTGGGCGTCCCAGAGCCATGTCGAGGCCACCAGAGGCGTCCCTGCACGATTTTCACGAGGTTCTGCACGATTTTCAGGAGCGGATGACCCCTCCGTTCCCGTCTGGGGGATCCGGCCCGACCCCCCCCCTCCAAATCGACCGGACCGGGCTCCCGGGGGAGGGGTTTGGGGAGGGGGAACAGTGGGGCCCTCTAGGGGTATGTGGGGCACCCTCTGCGAGGCTCCTGGAGCCGTCTGGGAGCGGGTTTGGGGGCCTCTTGGGCCGTCGGGGGGCATCGGAAAGGCCCACAGCCGAATTTGTGAAAAACGCACGTTTCACGAAGGGAATGGGCCAATTTTTGCGTCTAGGGACCCTCGTGGAACGCATCTCGGAGGCCCTCGGGGGGGCTCGTGGGGGCCTCTTCTGCCGTCGAGGACGCCTCGTGGCCCGTCTTTGGGCCACCTTGGGCGGCTTGGAGCGCTCGTTGGGCGTCCCAGAGCCATGTCGAGGCCACCAGAGGCGTCCCTGCACGATTTTCACGAGGTTTTGCACGATTTTCGGGAGCGGATGACCCCTCCGTTCCCATCCGGGGGATCCGGCCCGACCCCCCCCCCCCCTTCCAAATCGACCGGACCGGGCTCCCGGGGGAGGGGTTTGGGGAGGGGGAACAGTGGGGCCCTCTAGGGGTATGTGGGGCACCCTCTGCGAGGCTCCTGGGGCCGTCTGGGAGCGGGTTTGGGGGCCTCTTGGGCCGTCGGGGAGCATCGGAAAGGCCCACAGCCGAATTTGTGAAAAATGTACGTTTCACGAAGGGAATGGGCCAATTTTTGCGTCTAGGGACCCTCGTGGAACGCATCTCGGAGGCCCTCGGGGGGGCTCGTGGGGGCCTCTTCTGCCGTCGAGGACGCCTCGTGGCCC